ATAAATCCTATTCCGACATCAGAAGTGGGATCGACGCCGGGTATATCAATGCAACAGCATATGGCTATTTTACGTGAACTGATCCAATCAATTGCCCAAAGACCTAATACAGTCTCCAGGAAGTTTACACTACCACGTTTTAACCCAGAAACCTCTGGCTCTGATCCGGCTGCATGGAGTTCAGCTGTCAGTATTATGATGGAAGAAAATCCATTGCAAGGCAGTGCACTATTTTCCGCGCTTAGTAGCGCTTTAGAGGGTTCCGCTGCACAGTGGTTGACTCAAATTATGGTTGGGGGAACCATTACTTGGTCTCGATTCAAGGAACTTTTCATTTCCCGTTTTGGTGGAAGAGAAACCGCAGCGTCTGCCCTTATGAAGATTTTTAACGAACAACCGTTAAAAGACGAGACAACTGGAGCTTTTGGGATTCGTTTACGCTCTCTCCTCAAGGCGAGATGGGAAAATTTGAGCATGGCGGAGATAATCAACGGCGCTGTTCTCTATCGACTAACGTCACAAGATCACCGGGTCGAACGTACAGCGCTTACGAGCGAGGTAAAAACGGAAGACGAATTTCTTACTGAAATGAGGGCCTACTCGTACGCAAAGAAGCGACCGTTGCAATCGTCCGAGAACTCGTCAAGTTCAGATCCTAAACGCTCCAAGCCAACGGAGACACGGATTAAATGTCTCTTCTGCGGTATTCCTGGCCACAAAGTATCCGAATGTCGCAAGAAGTTATTTCTGGAGAAGAAGAAAAATTTCCATAATCCAGAAGGGAGTCGATCATCTGCCGCAACAAAAGTAACCTGCTTCAAGTGCCATAAAGAGGGTCATATTGCACCAAACTGTCCGTCGAGGAAGAACAACAGCAACAGCGGCAACAACAATGGAAATCAGCACTCAAGCAGCGAACGCCGAGTGGACTTCTGCACCGTGGATGTTCCAGCGGGTACAATGACCCATATGGGTGAGTCGTTTCCATTTTGCTTTGATTCAGGAGCTGAGTGCTCACTAATTAAAGAATCGATTGCCCCGAAATTTTCGGGAAAACATATTAATGATATAGTTTTAATGAGAGGCATAGGAGATAGTTGTGTCAAATGTACATTACAAATTCTATCTACTGTTTGTATAAATAACTTTACATTGGAGATAGTCTTTCATGTGATTCCCGATAATTATTTAAAACATAATATAATGATTGGTCGTGAAATTCTGGGTCAGGGTTTCGAAGTAAATATTACGCAAAATAATTTTACTATTTGTAAGGCTAAAGTAGTCAATACTTGCGAAACAGTTTCTAATGAGATTAATTTCAACAAAGTAGACACTGACGTCACGGGTAGTGATAAAACTAGATTAATTTCCGTTTTAGAAAATTTTAAAGACTCTTTTATCACGGGTTTTCCCCGTACCGAAGTCACTACAGGTCAGTTAGAAATACGTCTCATAGACCCTAATATCACCGTTCAAAGAAGACCGTATCGACTTAGCGTTGAAGAGCGGGAAATTGTTCGTGAGAGAATCGATGAATTACTTAAAGCAAAAATTATAAAGCCCAGTAATTCACCGTTTTCTAGCCCCATATTACTCGTTAAAAAGAAAGATGGTTCAGATAGACTTTGTGTAGATTACCGAGAGTTAAATAAGAATACCGTTGCAGATAGATTCCCTTTACCCTTAATTTCAGATCAGATCGCAAGATTACGGGACGCCAAATATTTTATAAGCTTAGATATGGCTAGCGGCTTTCATCAAATCGGTATCCACCCAAATTCTACTGAATTCACAGCTTTTGTTACTCCCGACGGTCAATATGAATATCTAAAAATGCCATTTGGATTGAAAAATGCACCGTCTGTTTTTCAGAGAGAAATCCTTAAAGCTCTGGGTGATTTAGCTTACTCTTGGGTTGTAGTTTACTTAGATGATGTGCTTATTATAGCGAGTTCGATAGATCAGGCGTTGGAGCGGTTGGAAACCCTTTTAAACATTCTGGTTAAAACTGGATTTTCATTTAACTTTGCTAAATGTTCATTCCTTAAAACATCAATCTCTTACCTCGGTTATGAAATCACTAACGGTGAGATAAGACCCAATCCGCGTAAAATACAAGCTTTGAATTCTTTACCTGCACCAACTACTGTCACACAATTAAGACAATTTATCGGTTTAGCTTCTTATTTTCGTAAATTCATCCCAAAGTTTTCTCAAATCATGAAACCTTTATACTCTCTTACCTCGGGTAACAAAAACATAGATTGGCAAGATAAACACGAAACTTTACGACAAAAAGTAATTACTATCTTAACAAATGAGCCAGTATTGATAATCTTCAACCCTAATTATCCGATTGAACTACACACCGATGCTAGCTCTGATGGTTACGGGGCTATGTTAATGTTAAAAGTAGAAGGTAACAATAGAGTTGTAGAATACTATAGTAAGAGGACTAGCTCAGCCGAATCCAGGTATCATTCGTACGAGCTGGAAACCTTAGCTGTAGTAAACTCAATTAGGCATTTTCGGCATTATTTACATGGTCGAGAATTTACAGTTGTTACTGACTGTAATTCTTTAAAAGCGTCTCAAAATAAAATCAATTTAAATGACCGGGTTCATAGATGGTGGGCTTTTCTACAATCCTTCACTTTTGAAATTGTTTACAGAGAGGGGAAACGAATGTCACATGTTGACTTCTTTTCTCGTAACCCAATTGACATTACTCGTAAACCTTTTGAAAAGATTGAAGAGAAGATAATTAATCTTACAGAAATATCGGAGGATTGGTTACTAGCAGAGCAACGTCGTGATCCTCTAATTTCAGAAATCGTTTCTAAATTACAAAACGATGAAATCGCGGAAGACATTTTAAAGACGTACGAACTACGATCCGGTACCCTTTATCGGAAAATTCAAAGAAATGGGAAAACTCTTTGTCTACCCATTATTCCTCGAGGTTTTCGATGGTCTGTTATTAATCACGTACATCAATCAATCATGCATTTAGGTTGGGATAAAACTCTTGAAAAGCTATATGAATATTATTGGTTTGAAGGGATGGCGAAATACGTTCGGAAATTTGTAGAAAACTGTCATACTTGTCAAGTTTCTAAATCCAATTCAGGCAAGGTACAAGCCGAATTACACCCGATACCTAAAACAAGTATACCCTGGCATACCGTTCATATGGATATTACGGGTAAACTAAGTGGTAAGAATGACTCAAAAGAATACGTTATTGTACTCATTGACGCATTTACAAAATACGTTTACCTGTATCATACCCGTAATATAGATTCCCTTAATACAATAAAAGCACTTAAATCAGCTATATTTATCTTTGGTAGTCCTTGTCGAGTAATCGCTGACCAAGGGAGGTGCTTTACTGGTAAGGATTTCCAAAATTATTGTAAAAGTCAAGATATTAAATTACATTTAAAAGCTACGGGATCTTGTAGGACAAATGGTCAGGTAGAGCGTGTTATGGGTACTTTAAAGAACATGTTCACTGCAGTAGAAACTACCGGACGGTCATGGCAAGAAGCGATAGGCGAAATACAGTTGGCTCTGAATTGCACTACCAATCGCGTCACCAAATCCAGTCCCTTAGAGTTATTAATTGGTAAGGTGGCAAGACCTTACGGATTTTTAGCGCACGAAAATACCGAAGTTAGAAAAGTAGATATCTCCAATGTAAGACAACAAGCTATAAGTAATATCGAAAGTAATGCTCTTTATGATAAAAATAGATTTGATAAAACGAAGGCTAAAGTAGTTAAGTTTAGTATTGGTGATTTTGTACTATTGAAAAACGAAGAAAGAAATCAGACTAAGCTAGATCCGAAATTTAGGGGTCCATTTGTAATAGCGGAGGTTTTAGAAGGAGATAGATACATTTTAAATTCAGTTAAAGGTAAAAGAACGTATAAATACAGTCACGATAAATTAAGAAAAATGCCGCAGAGTTGTGTTCCTAGCGAGTTGGATCTCAGTGATCCTGAGGATGAAAATGACTCAGTAAATGTAGAAAGCTCTGAAGAAAATGGACAGTAATTTGAATCAAATAAACTTACATCACTTGTCCAGTGCGACAGTGGAGTCTAAAGCAATTTAGATGTGTTTATCCTGTCATTTGCAAAGAATAAAATTTACAGAGAATCTACAGCTTGTGAAACACAACTGGCATTAGCGATAGTACAATTTGAAGTTCTTTAACATATTTTATAAACTCTTCTATTCTCCGTTGTTCGGTTGGATCCCTGAATTGGCAGATTATTTAAAGTAGATCATTCATTATTTAAAGTTGTTAATTCAAATCTAACGTCAAGCAAAACTAAATTTTAGATACACCCGAGGACGTGTGATCGTCAGGATGGCCGTGTCGGAGATGAGAATAGCTGGGTTTTTCCAAGGGATATCTGGGAAAATCCTAAGCACTTTTAGTTTATAGCTAGAAAATAAAACTTAGTATTTTAATTTTATGATTTAATCCGCTAAGGAAATTTTAGTAAAACTTTCTTTAAGTCTTTTATGACGGTAGGCTCGGGTTCGAAAGATCACATCTGCGGGTCTAACGTAGCCACGGTCAAGGGACAGCAATACCTAAGTGTACATCATCGAAATGTACAATTGCAGGACGTAGCTTGTATATTTTTTTAGAATATTTACCTGGAGGAATTATGGATTGAAAAATAAGTTTTGAGGATAGTTAGTTCTCTCCGAACATTGAGCGATAACGGTTGGCTGTCCTTTTGATCGTGGATTCGTTCTCTTATCCAAGTCTGTCGTCGTTTTATTATTCCTAACGTTTAATATTAACGATATCTTATTTTATTAACATTGTTCATCGTATTAGTTCAGTGTGTTAATTAAAATTATAATTGTTAATAATTAAGTAATAATATTAACTTATACTTCGAGTGTAGTGACTATATAATATTGTGTGTGCGCGTGCGTTACGCATAAACAAACATTGTTACGAAGAAATATAATTAAGTATTAATAAAGTTGTACGATATTTGTATCATCTGAATATTGTAAATAATAAATATTAAAATGACTCAAGTTAATAATGATAGTGAGCGCCCTTCTCAAATAAATCCTATTCCGACATATATATATATATTTATCTATTTTGACTGAGTAAAAAAATTATGGGGCCATACAAGAAGTTTTTAATATAGATATTAGTAATAACTTTTAAAGTTATAAATTTCTACAGTTAAAACTGCGAATGCATAAACACGTAACCACTTTATTTATTAATTGTAAAATTTATTCTCATTTTTTGGTTCTTATACAGTCAGAATTAGACATTCTTTGAAATAGATGAAAAATTTTCGTCTGAACGATGATGATTTTGCCAAAGATGGAAGAAAAACTTATAATTTAGGATGTGTCCAACTTTCACCTCAAATAAATTTTGAAAGTAAATTTATCGGCAAATCACAAGAGTGATTTTTTGCAGAACGTTTAAACGGATAGCTCAAATGGTAGAGTAGCCATTAAATAGATTATTCTATAGCAAACACTTGAATAAACGAGTAAAAATTATTTGTTACCAATCTCTAATTAGACCCCTAATAACATATAGAGCACCCATCTGGTTTAACCAAAATGCATCAACATTAGAAAAAATTAGATTATTCGAGCGTAAATGCTTACGATCATGCTTAAAAATGTATCGTTCCGAAATAACTAATTATCAACATTACATTAATAATCAAACCTTATACAATAAAGCAAATATTCCGCGAATAGACTCACACATACTACAACTAATACGAAACCACTGGGCTAATACATCAAAAATATCAACTAATTCAAATATTAATAAATTTTTATCGCCAAATAAAAATTACATAGAAAAAGCATTAAAAATTGGGTATATCCCTCCAGAAGGTTTCTTCTACCTGGACCGGAACAACTACCTACAAGACAATAACAACGTACCCGTAATATACCATTACCTGAGAAAAAAAATGCAAACTGCAATTTTATACGAGCCTAACTTAGACACGACAACAAACAACCCACAGTGGCGATTTGACAAGACAATCCCCAGTAAAGACAGAAAGAATAATCACCGCAATAATAAAAAAAAATACTGGTGGCTGGAATAATTTTCTCACTACCTGAATTGTACAAATGTATTATATCTAGATTTAAGTTTTAGTAATAGTTTTTTATTTTTAGTTATTAGATTAGCATTTAAGGAAAAAAAAAATGAAAAGTATCACTGGAGTTTAACCCTTTTTTCTCCACTACTAATTAAGTGAAAAATGAATGTATTTTATTATATAAAATGTAGATCCTAAAAAACAATTGTAAGATCCATGTAACGATGAAAACAAAAAAAAAAAATAATGCTCACTGCAATGCGATGCCAGAGCTGGCCATATTGTGTTCATAAAATTAAGACTGTAAAATAAGCCATTTGTTTGTTTAAGCATTGTAATATACCTGAAATGTATTTTATTTTTTAAGGGTTCAATAAAACAAACTTATATAAAATAAAAAAAAAAAAAAATGGTAGAGTAGCCGACATGTCTTCGGAAGGTTCTGGGTTCGAATCCCAGTCCGAGCTATCTAATAATTTTTTCTCGCATATTCTATACACTCACATTAAGATGATCCTCTCCACAATCCTTTCCTACCAAAATATCCTGTGTTACGTGAATGTTGGAACGCTTCACGTAATAATTATCCGTAACTCCTATTCTTTACCGCTTCACAGCATTATTTATATTTGTTAATTATTCTGCAGAATTAATTCCCTTCCTCAACTTTCGTTTTTTATGAACATTTTAGGAAAAAGAAAATTATTTAAAATGTTTACATGTGTGATTTTTGAGTTTTGAATTTGAAATCCTCCTTTTTCATAATGATTGCATATTTTAATTTTGTTAAAAATATTTGAACAAAATTTACCACCGCTTTAATAACTTTTAAGCTCAAGTCCGGTCGTGGGGGTTCTATAATTATAATTTTTTTCGATTTATAAAAATTTGAGAAAAAAATTTTTTTTTTGATAATCATTATGAATACCAATTTTTATAACTGTATATTCAATTTTTAGTTATTTTGAATTAATTTTAAACCTTACCTCGTAAGTTTTTTTACGCTCTTTCTAAAAATTTTACATATACGACTACCAGTCGAATTAAAATTTTCTTTGGGAAATTTGTTTCCATTATCTATTGAAATTATCAAATTGAATTTCGATAAATTTGTTCATCAAATCGCTACGAGAGATAGAGGTCAAGGAGAATTCCAATCTCTAGGGCAGGCTTGTTCGCCTTTGCTTAATCATCATGCCTCTACATAGCGGAAAGTTTTAGGGATGGTCTATAGAGTCAACCATTTTTCAGATTTTCTAAGCTGATATTTGATGAGCGCGTAATAAAAAAAAATGTTAGATTGGATATTACTCAACATGTGCAGTTTTTTACAAAGATTTGGAATGTCATCATAACTAAAAATTGGCAAAGTATATTACAGTGTTAAGTAATTTCATTTTTTTTATAGTTATGGTCATATCTGAACATTAGATAATATTTTAAAGTATCTAATTTTTAATCACCTTTTTCTGAGTTCCTAATATTTTCAGAACAGTTTACGCTTAGATTTATTTACGGATAAGGAGTAAACAGTAATAAAAATGAAATACTAACCTCAAGTACGTCTTGCGCAGTTTGCAAATATTCTCGAAGCATAGCTTCTTGGATAGCTCTCCATTCTTGTCTTGGATCTTCAAGCTGGGTTGTTTCTGCAAAGTATAGAAAATAAAATAACTTAATTGTTTCAAACAAAAGAAAGTATAAAAATAAACATTTTGGCTACTCTATGATACTTTTAATATAAGTTAGCATGGAATTTAAAATAAATTGGACTTTCATAACCGTAGAAAAATCGTATACGTAAACTACAAAATAGGCAAGTAAAGATAATAATTTAAATTGAATAGTTGTAATAATAAAACAAAGATACTTACGATTGACATGGTTAATATAATAGGCACCGACATGTTTGTCACAAGCTTCTTCCCATCCAAGGGGTAATTCATTTCCTATGCAGTCCGCAAAAGTTTGAGGCTTCGTAAATCTGCAATAGAAACCGAATTGGTTTTGAATTAAACACTTATTTAATCCAATAATATATTCAATATAATGACATTTTGAATTATCAAAACTCTAGAAAATTAAAAATTCCGCTACATTCAAAGTTTATAAAATACATTAACTTAAATAGAATACCAGCTGAAAAACAATTTTGAAAATTATAAAACACCGAGCTATCGAATATAGGTAAACATAAATCTTATATTCCTCAAGAGTTGAAATTAATTTAATTTCATTATTTACATTTTTCGGCTAAATAAGTGTTCGTCTATTCATTCATTTTGACGTAAAAATTTTCGTTGTTATGTTTTTTAATTTATTGAGACTTTGTGATTTTAAAACATTCTATTAATATAGCTTTAGTTTTTTCTTTATTCAAGTTTATATTTTTCGGAATTTTAAAATTTGTAAAATTAATTATTTTAAATTATAATTTATATTTACTTTTTAAGTTCTAGTAATTTATTAATTCGGAATGTTGTCAATCTGACTAAGTTGACTGCAACCCGAAAAAAATACTATCCGCGGGAAAATTCAAACGAGCTTAAAAATTGAATTCTGAATAAATTAATTTTTTGTTATTTATTTGCAATTGACGTTATTAAAATTTTTTTTCAATTTATTCTTGTAGTATACAGTAGTTGACTATTTCTTAAATGTAGATAATTAGTTTGAACTTATTCGCTCAAGGTTGAGCCTCTTTACTTTTTAAATTATTATAAATTACTATCTAAATATTATTAGTTGAATCAAAATGAAAAAGAAAATGAATATAAATCAAATCAAATCAAGTCAGATCTTTAGACTGTATTTCTTCGTTTATATCTTTTAGCTTTTCTTTTCTTACATTATCCTTCACTTTAAATGCATTTTAAACTTAAATTTTTATTGCATCATCAAAAGCAAAAAATATACTTCTATCAATATTTTATGTATCTATATATTATGTACTCACGTTTATAACCTCATATATTTAATCATATGTAATATATATGTACTTGAAATTGCCATTTGGCCTGTGCCTTGGCATAAAATAAACAAAATTTAAATCTAAATCTAGATAATTATTTTTTTTTTCTATCGATGTTTGATATAAATTAAAAAAAAATCGAAAATAGTATTAAGGTTATTAGCGAAAACTGGGATATATTTAAACTTTACTTTGACCAACTTACGTAAAACATGGGCGCTTAAAGTATGCACAATTGGATTTATCAATCTTTTTTTTTTTTGCTATCATCTAGGCGCTAAAGAAATGCGATTTTTGATTTTTTAGACTTTTTCAACATTCCCTATATTTTTCCTAAGTGTCGAAAAAATTCAAAAGTGTTTTACATGATTCCGAAATTTTGCGTCAGATCGTTCTTAAAAAAGTTTTTTTCGTATATAACTTTTAGATTTTGGAGCGTGGAGAGTCTTAAATTTATAGAAGTTATATCATCGAGCTTGAAGAACAATAAAAAATTTTTCGATCACTTTAAGCTCGAATATAGCAAGAAGTTCCAGGGATGGCCTCTAGAGTCAATCGTTTTTGGAATTTTTTTTTTTTTTTTTATGATTCATAATGCGAAGCATCAAAGAGTTCTCTACAATCAAATAAAACTTTTTTAACAAAATATTGGAAAAATGATTCGATTTCATCTATGTTATATGAAAATATACCAATTAGCCTTTTTCCTGGGAAGATTAAAAAAAGATCTGCTAGGGGCAGCACCGGTGGGGGGGGTACATATGTTTTGATTTCTCTATTGACAACAACGTTAAACATAAAGAATTATTATGGAATTAACAGAAGATGATGTACCTGGGGCGAAATTGAAATTTGGAAAAGTACAAGATCATCTTGTCAGGGACTTAAAACGATGGCTTGCATGTCGTGGCTTAACCGTGTCAGGTAATAAAACTGTCCTAGTTGAAAGGTTAGTTGGTTCATAAATTTTATCGTATGTGTCATTGTATTGTTTAAATTTTTAATATTTAAAATAAATTTTTTTTTTTTTTTTTTTTTTTATATTTAAGAATCGAAGAATGCATTGCAAATGGTAATAGTAAAAAAATTTTTATTGGAATTGATGGTGGTAAATGTCTAGCGGATAAACAGCAACGTATGCAATTACTCAATCCAACTCTACCAAGTACAAAATCCTGCACTTTTCCTACTACAAACTGGGCAAATTTTCCATCCCAAGCTATCCCTCATTCTTTTTGCTATGCTATCATGTATAATTATGTCACTACCGGTCCTATTGATACTTTAGATTTGAATGCTACTTTATCTGACGATGACGAACAGCTTCCGAATTGTGGAAACTCGAAAGCACTTCAAAGAGGAAGACAATATTGTTTAAGTGACTTTGTGTCAAATATGGAAGACAATGCGAATGATTTGGTATATTACTTAAAAGCAGACGTACAATCTTCTTTTCGAGTCACTGTGAAGTATAAAATAAGTATAGCTTTGGATAAGAATAGTAGCAAAATTATAAATGCTCAGTATCAGTGTCCAGCATCTCCTTCAGAGAACTGTTCTCATATTGTTGCTTTACTTTACAAACTTGAGGATTATACTGTACGTTACGGTTATGATGCACTCACATGCACATCAAAATTAAAAGAATGGAATAAAGGCAAAAAATTAGGCAATAATCCAGACAATATTTTAACTGTTAGCTATCCCACCAAACGTAAACACCTAAAGAAATCAATAATTAGTTTTATTCCGAAAAAAAAACAATATTTAAATGATAACTATGATAAAAATCAGTTCACGTCCAGATTTGTTCAAATAGTTCAAAGTAAAAAGGAAATTAATTGTATGGGGAATACTTTGCTAAGCATAAAATATGATGATCCACAGATTCGTCTAGACGAACAGTTAATTTTAGAACTAAAAGTTGAGCAATTACTAATGAACTTAACTCCGATTGAACCTGGACCAATTGAAATCGAAGTTGAACAAAATAGTTCTGCATGGCTAACTTAAAGACAGCTCAGGATAACAGCATCAGAATGTAAAAATTTTTCACGAGTACAAATTTGACAAATTTAATTAATACCAAATTACGGTGCAAGAATGACATCAGTCATTTGCCTCAAATCGTGTATGGCCGCGAGAATGAAACTAATGCGATAATTGATTTCGAAATTAATAATAATTTGATTGTTAAACGGTGTGGTCTCTTCGTAAACAAATTATTTCCTGGTCTAGGATGTAGTCCAGATGGTTTAATCTTTGAAAATGAAAAAATAATTTCATGTATTGAAGTCAAATGTCCTCAAGTATTGAAAGATTGTTCACCGTTTGATCTAGATAAAGTGAAAAATGCAAATAATTTATGTTACACGGTTAAAAACAATCAAATTCATTTGAAGAGAAACCACAGTTACTATTTTCAAATTCAACTGACACTCGCAATACTAGAACTAGAGTACTGTGATTTTATAATTTGGTCTGGGCTTCATAGTTTTGCTACTGAACGTATAAATCGAGATGAAATTTTCATTCAAGCTTTAGCACAAAAGTTACTCAAGGTGCATACAATTTTAGCTCGTGAATTTTTCGAAATGCGACTGCCAAGAAATTTATTACTTATCACTTGAAATGTTATTCAAGGATGACAGACATTCATTTCTTAATTATTATCACTATTACTGTTACTATTCCTATTTATTCATAGTCTTTATATAAAAATCTTTCCAATAACTGAAAAGATTGATATATTTATGTTTGTTGTGTTAGTCACTTTATGCATGTAACCAAATATTTTTGGTGTTTTAAATTTTATATTTTAAGTTATTGTTGCTATACATATTTTAAAACATTTTAAATAATACTAATTTTATTTTTGTTGTGACAAAATATTACAGGAAAAAATAAAAAATTATTCTTCAATTAATGTTTTTGTTAATTTTTGATTATTTACATGACTAACGGTTCTTGAAAATTAACAAGCATTGCAATTACAAAAGTAATTTGAGATATAATAGGAAGCATATTTTTAGAAATTACTCGTTGCATTATACAAAACTCCTTCATACGTCCTATGAATCTTTCGACATGAATTCGAGCAGCAGCTATTTCTCTAACTGTTCTTATCTCTCCTTTAGTGAACCTCTTGCGTTTTTTTAAAAAAGGTGGGATTATTAATGAACACTTTTGTTTATTACACAATTCTTCGAGATTAAATCCCCGATCTGCCATTATTGAATCTCCTTGTTTTATATAATTAAAAAGTCCACTTTTGATTGTTATTTCTTTATCACTAATACGACCCTCGAAACCATCAGATAGAAAGCAGCATCCTCCAGTTGGGATTATTCCGACCAAAAATTTGACAGTGTTGTGTGATTTGTAACTTGAGTATGTGTTCCCTTGTTGATTGAAATTTTTAGACTTTTGCATATTCCATTCAAAACAATCAATTATAACACGAATATTCTTAAATTTTCTGAAT